CGGCAAGAGAAAGCAAACTAGAACAGACATATTAAAAAAAAAAAACTGTGTTCCTGTTTCTTCTTTACAATCTTATAGCTTGTATTAAAAAAAATCAAAGGGAAACATGCTCACATCTTTTTTAATTTTTTTTTTTGAGACAGGGTTTCTCTGTGTAGCTTTGGAGACTGTCCTGGAACTAGTTCTTGTAGACCAGGCTGGCCTCGAACTCACAGAGATCCACCTGCCTCTGCCTCCCGAGTGCTGGGATTAAAGGCGTGTGGAGCTCAATAATGTTAGGGTGTGAAAAGCATCTCCGGCCACCCTGCATGCCTGTTCCAGCTTCCCGAGCAGCACTTAACTTCTAAAGAAACTTCAAGCTCCCTGTTCACGCTGGCTCTGTGTTCTTTAACTCACTGATTTTTAACTTTTGCTGGTTTTGTGTTGTCATTCCTCTCTTCTTCCCTCTCAATAAAAAAAATACTGTTTGTTTTCTGGAGCAGTTACAGAGGGCTGCATAATTCATGCTCCTCCACACATCAATAATTCAGCTGTGTATTTCCTAACATGGAGAGAATTATTCATGGTTTTGGTTTTATCTCTTTTAGTCCCGAATACTGTCTATCATATATTATATAAATTTCAATATGATTTAGAGTTTATATTAATATGCATGTAGTATAAAATGTTTTTAATGTATTTGAGTACAACTTATTAATGTTATATAAATATATATAATGCATAACACAAATACTTCTTAGAGGCATAGTATATTAAGATGTATACCTTGAAAATAAAAATGATATATATTGTGTTTAAATAAATAATATGCATTTTAAATATATAACATTTAATATCATTATCAGTATATAATGCACACATATATATACATATACACTAGACCTATAAATCTATAATTTTATATTATAAGTTATAAGTAGTAACATAATTAGGAATCATGATAAATAAAAATACAATATACAATAAAATAAAATACAAAACACAATAAAAATGCAAATATAATAATATCTTAATGCAGATTAATATGCTGTAAGCTAAAGTATGTACTTATGTTTAATAGAATATTTGCATTCTCCTTCTTTGAACCTGCCTGATTTTTCTCATACATGTGATTAGGCATGTATACCCTTAGCTAGAATATGTCTGTATGGTGTCTCTGTCTTATCTTAGAAGATAGTTTTCATTTTGATTTCTCGGTGGATGTGGTGTGCTGTCCTAATACGTCCTCTACATAGTGTCTTCATTGTTTTATTTTTCTAAAACTTAAGTTGGTGAGGAACTGTTTGAAGTCATGTAGATACCTTGCATCTCAAATAAATTGCATGTCCTAGAGTTACCATCTGTTCATTTTACTGATGCTGAGGATTGAACCCAGGGCCTTGGACTTGCCGGACAAATGCTTTACTATTGAGTTACCCTCCTAGCTCAACTGATATTTGTTTAAACAAAAAGAAACACAGTCAAATTGTATATAACAGAACAGTTATCAAATAAGAACATAGTTACAATATTTTAGCAAGATTTAAAGAAAATATCATCCATCCCATCCTTGTGAGTCCAAAGTTCTATATGTAGCTTATCTTTTATCATAACTAAGGAAAACTATAATTATAGCTATCTGTCTTCAACTCTATCAAAGACCACAGAAGGATAATATATAAACACTAGGATTGACAGAGGTATCTTACTGCCTGGACAGTCACCCGAAGTTCCTCTGTAACGTTGGGGCATCCATCTTCAGCCCATAGGCCACAATGTGTCTGGAACACTTCTCAGCAAAGCAGGAAATTTCAAACTGTCCATCTGCATTGGCAGTCTGTCAGTCATTTTTCTTTGTCCTGCAGAAAGTCTCGTAGACTCTTCATGAAGCAGGAACCCTGTAAGACTGAGTTCAGTAGTCACTTTCCTGTGGGTCCTGCATGTCCAGTATACAACAGTCAACAGTCTAGGCAAGAGCTGTTTCTTGCCCAAATGGCTAAACTTGCCATGTTGAAAGCAAACTCCATAACAAGTTTCTTCGATGCCCATCTTCCTCTCAGACATAATTGGTGCTGCCAGGAGCAGACATTTCTCATTGTCAAGACAAACCCTAAACCATTTTAAATGCCATGTTCTGAAGGTCTTTGAGAGGTTTGAAGACTGTCCATCTCAAATATATTTCTGTATATCTAGAAACCTAACTTATGTAACTAGAAATTCTATTATAAGTAACTATCTATAGTCTGTATTCAATTATGCATTACATTGTAAAAGATCAGTATAAGCACAATACTTAATCAAGAGGAGACATATACACATCACAAAATTGACCTTGAATTTGTATCAATAAATGAAAAACAATACCCATATCATAATTCCCCTTTTTTACCATTAAAAAAGATTGGCTGTGATCACTAGCCAATTATAAACAATCCCATTTAAATGAAAACAAAGATTTATAAACAAGATGGGAATTGGGACGTCGCTCATTCCAAACTGCTTCCTGCTGGAAGGGGCGCTGTTTATACCATGGGGATCATGACAAAACTCAGAAACCTGTATAAGTCCTTATTTTTATGGTCTGTAGAGCTGTATCATCTTAGCTGTCTCAGTTGTTGGAACACCTGGTCCACTGCTTCCGGGGTCTTGGTTCGTGAAACCACAGAAGCCTGGAAGGAATTCTCAGCTTTTCATTTTCTGTAGAAACATAAATAAAAACTCCTTTTCCGAGTAACATATCCTTATGCTTAAATTTTGAAGTCAAGGTATTTTCAAAAGATATAAGTTGTATTAATTTAGCAGCATTTATAATCAAGTGTACTTTAGTATCAGTTCCTTCCTGAGCAAGCAAAAAACTGAAAAACACAATAGTGTACAGTATCCAGACTCTCTGTGTATTTTCCATCTTTACGTGGCTTATTTATTTATCTATTATTACTTTATTTCTTTCACTTTTATTTATTTTTCTCTGAGACAGGGTTTCTCTTCGAAACCTGCCTGCCTCTGCCTCTGGAGCAATTCCTACCAGCGTGCGCCACCACAGCCGGCTTTTGTATTTATTTACCACTTTGTCGTTTCAGTTTCTCTCTCAATCTCACATATATTTTTAAACACACTGTAAACCTTTAGAAGTTTTTCTTTATCCAAGTCTGACTTTACTGTAAATCTTTATGTTTTTCTGGCCACGTGTCTTATCTGTAAAACCGTGGCTGTTTTAAACTGCCGTTTTTTTTTCAAGATGGCGGGCGTAAGCGTGACTTCAGCTTACCGCCTCAGTCCATGCTGACATCCAGCAAAAGCTGCCACTTCCAGCTGTACGTACACACCTTTCAAAAGTTAGCAGAGTCTCTTAAAAGGACCTTGTTGGTTTTTTTTTTCTTTTTCTTTTTATGCCGAGTCAGGAAGACTCCAGTAAATGAGCCTCGTGAATCTCGGCTTGTTGTTAGCAAAACAGAGCACACCTGAGAAAAATACTGCTACCAAAATCTGTGCTTCTCTCTGTTCTTCTGTTTTTAAAATTCCTTTAAATCTTCTGTTATTTTTCATGGAAATTTATGATCCCACTCCTGATCACCATTATGTTAAGAGAAGCTTTTTCTTTTGCTAGCCGCTTTGGTTTATCCCCCGCCAGTCGCCTGGGCTCTGCCGCGCCAGCCTGGTTCTAGATTCGCATGAGTCCCAAATAAACACACAGGAGGCTATATTAATTATGAAGCTGTTGGCCTTGCTTTTTTCTTACTGGCTAGCTCTGACTTAAGTATTTACCCCATAATTGTTAATCTAAGTATGTCTCTTACCGGAGAGGTTTCCGAGCTTCCTACCCCAATGGCGGTTACATCTCGACCCTCTCGTGTTTCTCCTACCCAGAGTCCTCCTGGACTCCTAGTCCCTCCTATCTAGATTCCCTATTGGCCAGACAGTACTTTATTGACAAATGCACAGGCAAATAACAGGACTTTCCCAACACCTGGCTTCTTGTTCTATCCAACCCTTACTCTTCTAGAAGCCAACGGCTGTTTTCCAGCATTGCCGTTCTATCCACACGCATCGATGGCTTTTTTTTAACCAGCAGATTCTCCCCATGTTCATTCGTTGGTTTGCCGTTTGAATTTATGCACTTGTAACCTTCATCACCCATGTGGCATCCATGTGGATTATGGATTTCTGTGTCTTCAATGGTTTATGATACATTACGTTCCTTATATTTAAATCAAGTTTCCTCAGGTTTGCTCAGCAGGAGTCCTTTTCCTTTGGATCCTTTTCCCTTTTGACCAATGTTCTGAGTGCTTTTATACTCTGACATGAGATGATGATACTCGCTGCCCTTGCATTTCCCCAAGCCTAAGCCTTAACTAGCATCAGACTTTTCCAGGGAACCAGTGTTTGTCTGAGGTGGGGCATTGCATTATGGGGCATTGACAGACCTTTGAAACCACACAGGCACACATCTGTGTGCACACATGCATACACGCACACACCAAACATATTCTCTTTAGCAACCAGGAGTCCCCCTGATTGTTAAAAATACGGATTTCTCTGCTTTGTTTTCCCTCCACTCTGTAAATTCTCTGTGGCTCATCACTACCCCCACGCTCTAATGATGAGTACAATGCCTGACACTCATGTTTGATGACTTTGAGACTCACAACCAGGGTATTGAACAGTCTAGCCAAGCACTCTGCCTCCGAGCTATGTCCGCAACCCTTAGAGTGTGTTTTAATAACTCAAGAACTGAACAAAATTTTATGCTGAGAATTTATCCTCCGTGGAAGAGAGCCTAGAAATAAGTATGAAAACTCCGTCGCTTTGTTTCTCCCTCTGTCTTTCTCTAAATGTACGGTGGAGCATATATAATAATCAGTGGTGGCTGCAGGTTTGATCCATAGGTTGCCATCTGTAAATACTATGCTTTTCTGCTGTGTGTTGTTCATATGTCTAGAGTCAGGTGCATTTCCACAAGATAATGTGAACGATAATTTTCCAAGTTTTACATTTTTTCTTCCCTGTGTCATACTTTCTAGGTGGCTGGCATCGTGGGCAGAGCTGATGTGTTAGCGTGTCTACTGTTCCTGCTGGCCTTCCTTTCCTACCACAGGTGAGCGGGGCAAAACAAACCCTTCTGTGGCTTTGGTCACATACTGCCACATGTACCCTAAACCCCTGTGGGCTATAACATGCTCAGTGGGTACCAGAGAGAGAAACCCTCTTTTTACCCAGTGCTGACCTGTTATTTTCGAACCCCATTCTGAAGTATTCACTATCCTGTGTGTGTGTGTGTGTGTGTGTGTGTGTGTGCACGTGTGTGTGTGTGTGCGCGTGTGTGTATGTAGTGCTTATACATGCATGTCCATGCTCACATGGAGACAAGAGGCCAATGTTGGTTGTCTTCCCCAACTGTTCTCCATCTTATCTTTAGAGGCAGGATCTCTCACAGAGCTGGAGAGGAATCTGTGTGTCTCCACTCCCCCAGTGCTGTGATTGCAGACATGGTGGCTAACACCTTTTGTTTTTTCTGTTTAATATACGCCAGGGATTGAACTCACGTCTCATGCTTGTGCAGCAGGCTCTTTGCCCACTGAGGTGTCTTCCATCCCTTTAAAAGACGGCTGTGCCCACCCTGGGAATCCAGACTCCTGTTTCTTTTGCTTGTTGATTCCTGGCTGAGGATAGAACTTTAGCTGTCAACAACAACAACAACCAAAAAAATAGACGTCCTCTGTTCTTCTTGCCTTTGATTTGTTTAATTTATCTTCATTTTGTTCCTGTTTCACCCTTTTCTATCATCCTTACAACAGCCACTCACAGTTACGTAACGAGGCTGATTGCAAAGCATTGTTTCTTTTTTTCCTTTTTTTTTTTCTTTTTTGGTTTTATGAGACAGGGTTTCTCTGTATTGTTTTGGAGGCTGTCGGTCCAGCCCAGCCTCAAACTCACAGAGATCCGCCTGCCTCTGCCTCCAGAGTGCTGGGATTAAAGGCCGTGCGCCACCACTGCCCGGCTGCAAAGCATTGTTTCTTAACAATAGTTTTGCACCTCAGAATCTTTTTGCCAAAACGCAAGAAACCTCTTTCTATTACATTGTGCCTTTATCCCCAAAGCGAAGGCATTTTTTTTAACTGACTTGTGACATATCTACCTATAGAGCAGAATGAGTTAGGAAAATGTGGGTTTGGACAGAGCATTCAGGGTGGGTCCCTAAAGATGCCAGGTCGGCTAATACCAACTGACTTCATTGAGAGATGCTAGCTGGGAATTGGAAATATTGGCCTTTGGATCAGTTTGATGACCTGTAACGTACAAAGCCCAGTGATTCACTTTTAAGAATTTTGTTCTAAGCCAGGCGGTGGTGGCGCACGCCTTTAATCCCAGCACTCGGGAGGCAAAGGCAGGCGGATCTCTGTGAGTTCGAGGCCGGGCTGGACCGACAGCCTCCAAAACAATACAGAGAAACCCTGTCTCATAAAAAACAAAAACAAAACAAACAAACAAAAAAAGAATATTGTTCTAAACCTGTGGTAGTGAATTAGCAAACATTTGCCTTCCTCCTCTAGGATAGTGGTTGCTTTTGAATACCTGAGGCCCAAATATCTGAGAAAACAGCCTAAAGGAAGGATTATTCATTTTGGCTCAAAGTTTTAGTCATGGTTGGGTGGCGTCACGTATACAGACAGAATGCAAGAGCACAAGTCAGTGAGTACTTAACCTCATGGCAGACTGGATGGAGAGGGAAGCGGTAACAGGTCCAGAGCGTGAGGTAGTTCGAGCATGAGGTAGTTTGAGCATGAGATGGCCTCCTCCAAGAACATGTTGTCAGTGCCCACTTCCTGCAAGCAAGCCCCGCCTTCCTCAGTGCTTCCGTCTGCCGGTACTCTTTTCAGACTTGGAACCCATTAATGTATTAAAGCACTCATTAGGCCAGAGCCCGTGTGACGTCAGTCACCTCAGGTGTCACCCTGGGTCCTCGTGATGTAAGTCACCTCAGGTGTCACACTGAGCCCTCGTGACATCAGTCACCTCAGGTGTCACCCTGGGCCCTTGTGACATCAGTCACCTCAGGTGTCACCCTGGGTCCTCGTGACATCAGTCACCTCAGGTGTCACCCTGGGCCTGTGTGACATCTGTCACCTCAGGTGTCACATTGAGCCCTTGTGACATCAGTCACCTCAGGGGTCACCCTGGGCCCGTGTGATGTCTGTCACCTCAGGTGCCACCCTGGGCCCGTGTGACGTCAGTTACCTCAGGTGTCACCCTGGGCCCGTGTGACATCAGTCACCTCAGGTGCCACCCTGGACAAGTGACACTGTCATGTAGTAAATAGAGAGTTAAAAGTGCCCCTGGACAGACGTCCTGCAGTTCATAGGACAGACCTCACAACAAAGAATTACCTGGCAGGGAAACACCAGTATGGCCGAGGAGGCCTTGGGTCTGGAGTGAGATGCGTGGAGGCTCAGGAGGAAGAGAGTGGGGCCAGACTGGTGCAGTGTTCATTCATCTCCAGGCCCACTGTCTACTGCACTTCTAATTGTGCAAGCACCGTTAGGAAATCTGAAAACTTAAGGTCAGATTTAATGTTTTCTCTTTGCCCTGGTATTGGGCAAGAATCAATCTACTGATTTAATTTAAACTTTTCTGTTCGGTTGATGTATCTAAGGAGGGGATGCGCTTTGCAGTGTGCCCCTGTCTGTGGGCTGGCTGGGTCATCACAGGTGATTATTCTGTATGCCCTGCTCACCTTGGAAAATTTAGGTTCTAGATCGACCCCATGGAAAATGCATATTTGCCATCGATTTTGCGTGTGATTTTATCTAATTGTTCCGAGGTACACTACATAGGAGGAGCCGTCACAATATAGACAGGGTGTTGGCCCTTACTTCAAAGGAGAGGGAGCTAGTGGCTGTGTGCCCATTTGAGGAAATAGTGGTACTTTCTAGGGCTAGTTTTATTGATAACTTGGAAAATAACACTGAGAACATCACGAAAATTCCTGTGGGAAATTGTGATAAAAAATAAAGATGACAGGGCTTGGGAGATGGCAGAGGACCCAAATGGTTCCCAGCACCTATACCAGATGGCTCCCAACTGTGTATAAGTTCTGCTTCAGGGATCTGATGGCCTCTTATGGCCTCCATAGGCAACTGCATTCACATGTGTGCATAACCCCCCCACACACAAATATACACAAATAATTAACTTAAAAAATTACCCAACACATGTACATTGCAAACAAATTCAAATTATCAGAGTAGTCAAAAGAAAAATGCTTAAATCCTGTTTTTCCATCATAGACAGAAATGCTATTTGCTTCTCTCTGCCGTTGAGTGTGTATGCGTGTGTAAAAACACTTTGATCTAACCATGGTGGTGGACACTTGACATCTGTCACTTATCCAGTCCTTGCTCCCATGTTAATTCCCCCATTTCTGCAGTATGGTATCATGTTTACTAACTGTACATACGTGGTTTGTACCAGGGAAGCTGGCTTCTCAATCCATGCATATTTGTTAGCAACTTGTATTATTTGCTTGAAACATATTCACGTAAACATCTTCCTGTCTACTAAATCTACCCTTACGTTAGTGTTCCAAACGACTTTTTAGTGTTCATTCATTGCAAACCATTCACTGCATCGTAATTTGCATACCGTAATTTAGTTCTAAGTTGATATTCTTTTTGGACTTTTTTCCATGTAAACAACATTTTTAAAGATTTTTTTTAAAGTGTGTGTGTATGTATGTGTGTGTGTATGTGTGTGTGTGTATGTGTGTGTGTGTGTGTGTTCCCAAGAAGATCCCAAGAAGGCATAGGATCTCCTAGAGCTGCAGTTACAGGGGGTTCTGAGCGACCCGATGTGATGTAGACTCCTTTCCTTTGGTAGAGTGACAAGAGCTCTTAGTCATTGAGCCGTCCCTTCGACCCCGCCGCCTTAACGGTTTTAAATAGATGCATGGCGAATGTTCTGGGAGAAGTCTTTGCTCGCTGCCTTGTTCTACGTGAGATACATCTCTAAAAGGTACTGTCTCATAGCAACCCATGTGTTGATAAGGAAATGCCCAACTTGCTTTGTAGGAGTCTGGATCAGGGCTATGCCGGGCAGTGCTTCCCCCCGACGGCTTCTCCCTTCTTCCTGCTGCTCAGTCTGTTCCTGGGGACCTGTGCCATGCTGGTGAAGGAGACCGGTGTCACCGTGTTTGGAGTGTGCTTGGTTTATGACCTCTTCTCCCCCTCCCACAAGCAGGACAAATTGTAAGTCCTTTCCAACCTGTGTTGTTGTATTGGTTGCTTTTCCTGCTATGGTAAACCTTACAAAGTAACTTGTAGGAGGAAGGTTTTTGGGTTTTTTGTTTTGTTTTGTTTTGTTTTGACTCTAAAACGGTCACATCTGGAATCGAAAGGAGCTGTATTGACTGCCAGTCTGCACTCCTGGTTTGTTTGGGTTGTGTCCTGCTGAGGGAATCCTGATTCACAAAGAAAATGATATCATGAATAGTAAGCATTAGCACCTTGTGTTGAGTCCCCAAATTCTGATGGCTGTTAGCCACGAGTGAGCTCCATGAACTTGAAAGCCTGTCTGCTTGCTCTAGCTGTGTAACCTAAGAGCCTTAGGGGGTTGGTTGGAGCCAGTCTTGAATATTTATGGACTCACTCACAGTCATGTGATTTTCCAGTTATAAAGAGGAAGCTTATGGAGCACCCCATTTTCCTCTTAAATTGTAAAGGTTCCTTTGTTTCATGAGTGGATTGTGATGCTAAGAGTAACTGGAGGAGATCAGAAGTTCGAGCATGTATTGTTTTCTTTCCTCATCAAACCCACAGTTCCTTGCAGTTTTACATGCGTCATTAAGAAACCAAATGACAACTGTTGATGGGTTTGTGGAGACAATAGAATACTTACACACTGCTGGTGGGATTGCAATCTAGCCCAGCCACTGTGGAAATAAGTATGGAGGTTACGACAAACAAACAAACAAACAACCACAACAACAAAAAAGTCTATCATATGACCCAGTTGTAGCATGTCTGGATATTTACCAGGAAGACTCCACATGAGACACGCACATGAATCTTTATTGCAACCAGCTGGGTACAGAATCAACATAGGTGTTTATCAACAGAGGACCCTATAAAGTTAGTGTAGTACTTATATACAATGGAATACAGCCATAGAGAAGAAAGAAATAATATCGTTTGTAGGAAAATGGGTGCATCTAGAGATCATCATATGTGGTGAATTAAGTCAAAAAGACAATTATCACATGTTTTCCTCTCCTTTGTGGGGTATGTGTGTGTGTGTGTGTGTGTGTGTGTGTAGTATTCACTTGGGACTGTCTTGGGAATGAAGAGAAGTGAATTGAGAGGAAAGGGAAGGTCAGAGAGAATCGTGGGGGGTTATGTTTAAAGAGCCTCATATACTCATGTGCAAATATCCTCAGGAAACCTAGCCACATGCACTGAGAATATGTGCCAGTAAAGATAAAACTGAAAAATAAAAACTGATAATGCAATTATTCTTTTGAAAGTAGACAATTGCAAATAGCAGAAACAGGACCTGCAGACTTGAAACCGCATCCTCCTTGGGTTCTGAGCTAGGGGAACGAGGGGTGGCTGCTGCTTTGTCACACGCCTTGTCGTTTTGTCTGACATGCCTTTCCCTCAATTCTGTGAACATTTAGGAGCAATGGGGTGATCTGTCAGCACAGCTCACAGCAGCCTGGGAACCCCCAGGCCTCCTCTCAGCATGGTCACCCCCACCGTGAGAGCAGAAAGCAGCGCCTCCCACACAAAGACACTTGGGGAGGCTGCCATCCACCATCGCCACCGGAGCCCAAGAGCAGCAGATTCCCTGTGTCCCCCGGAGCAGTGTGGTCCCTGATGAGGTAGGTCCTGGGCTGGGATCTCCACCGTATTTCTTTCTTTGTTGTACATTGACCAGTGTTGCAGCCCACGGTGTCTGCACAGCTGAAGCACTGAGTCAGCTCTTTGGGATGGCCTTCCTTCCCCAAGGGTCTTGACTATATAGGTTGGGGACTTTCATGGTGGGCTGGGAAGTTATTCTGGAGGGCTGTGAGCACCTTGAGGGTGGTGACTTTCTCTGTGTTGCTGGCAGTTGACTCCCAGTTGTTGATGCAGTCTTTGGCTAATAGTTATTTAAATGTTTGTGAGATTACAGAAGATAAGTGGAGCAGAAGAATGCATTGGGAATCAACCATAAGGAAGAAAAGGTTTCAGTAGAACTAGCAATGACGTAACGAGGGGAAAAGACGTTGGATAGAAGAATGTGAGGCTTTTGTTTGCATTTTTATTTCAAATTTCACGTGTGGGGTGCAGGCCCATATGTGTGCAGATGAACTCTGCAGAGGAGAGACGAAAGATACCAGAGCGGGAAGCGTAAAGATGAAAACCCATGAGGGTGGCGTGCTCACATCCTCTGCCTACTAACTGACTCTCTGAAGGGGGAAGCCAGATTTACACCCACTCATTTCAATGTAAATGTCCCCACCTCAGCTGATGCTGGCCCTGGAGTAAATGGTGCCTGACACTCATCAGTTTCTACTTATTGGATGACATCAGCAAAATCTCAAGATCCAAGTTTGCTATGTAGTCTAACTAGGAAATGCCCAGAGTCAGTACTCAACACTTCTTTTGATGTACTTTGTTTAAACCTATCTAACTTGATCTTTAGTGATAGCTGGCTCTAATAACTGGTTTGCAAGATTCCTAAGCAATTAGTTGGTGCCCATTCCTGAACATCAATGAAACGGGTCCATGGTGAAATCTGAAACAAGCTTCTTATCTGCTGTCCACCTACTGTTTACTGGGTAGGGGAGATACTTACACATCCTACTGTCACTCCAAGTCTGTCACAGTGTCTGTGGCCATGCTCAAAGTTAGCAAGTGTGGGAGCCCGGGCTGGAACTGGGCTGGGCCACTTAGACCTATGCCCTCTCTACCACTTGTCAGGCTTTGAGTGCAGGATCCCGGTGACCTCCGTCATCACTGCTCTGGGTTTGGAAAGATTCATGCAGTCGTCTGTAGGTCCACCCATGAGAAATGGGTGAGAGTTAGGTTACATGCTTTCTGTAGACGACACTCTGTTTTTCCCTTGAGGACACCCATGTTGTAGAAGCAGGCCACATTCTTATCTGGTCAGCATGATTGTAAGGAAAGTTCACTTTCCCTCCTGGATAAGGAAGGCTGCCATGTGTCATCTGTCTGAGTGAAAAATCTGTTAGTAAAATGGGTTTAGAAAGCTCTGAGTAATACTTTTTTGTTAAGGGAAACCTTTTCCTTGAGAGTAGCCTTCCCGCCAGCCTGGTTCTAGAGCCGCATCAGTCCCAAATAAACACATAGGAGGCTATATTAATTATGAAGCTGTTGGCCTTGCTTGTTTCTTACTGGCTAGCTCTGACTTAAGTAATTACCCCATAATTGTTAATCTAAGTATTTCTCTTACCGGAGAATAGTTCCGGGCTTCCGACCCTATGGCGTTACATGTTGACTCTCCTGTGTTTCTCCTTCCCAGAATCCTCCTGGACTCCTAGCCCCACCTATCTAGATTCCTATTGGCCAGACAGTCTTTATTGACAAGTGCACAGGACTTCCCCCAACACTTTTTGTCAGATGCGATTGGGTAAAGCCACTGAGTCTGGAGAGGCAATGGCATCCTGCCTCTTAAGATCTCTGGCTCTGTGGACAGGAAATTAAACCTCAGTTCCTTCAGATGCTCTCTGTTACCCTAAAAGTAACATGCCAGATTGGCTATCAGGACCAAGAGCATCTGTACCGAACATCAAGAACAAGAAAACATGCCTGGCAGCCCATGCTCTTCTGCTATTCAGCAGACACCTGCATCCTTACTGTTAGTGTCCTCACTCGCTTTAACTGCCAACTTGATACAGCCTAGAGTCAGCCCAAGATGGAAGGAGTCGATCACTTTGGCCTGTAGGCATGTGCACAGGGAATTGTTTGAACTATTAATTGATGTAGGAGGACCTAGCCCTGTGGGAGTGGGACCATTCCCTACTACCGGGTCCTGAGCTGGGTAAAGAAAGGTGTCACAGGCCTCTGAGGGAACTGGTGTTCAGCAGAGTTCCAGCACGGTCTGCCCTAAGTTCTGGCCCTGACTTGATGTGTAAGCCAGACAATCCGTTTCTTCTCCCCGAGCTGCTGTTGGTCAGAGAGTTTTTTTTATCACAGCAGCAAAAGGAGCCTAGCACAGTTCTGCTGTGTCGCGATTGCCGCGGGTCTCTGAACACCAGCGTGCAGTGTGAGTGGTGAACCTGTCCTGTGGGGCAGGAAGAGAGATTGTGTGTGGGTTTTCTGTTCTGGTTTAACTTCTAGGATATATATCTCACGCTTTGGTAAGAGGCTGGCAAAGGCTCAATTGAGAGCTGTCATATAAAGTGTCGTTTTCAGAAGTTTGCTAAGGGCCCACGCCCTGGAATCAGATCACAGTTGGCTAGTAGAACCGTTTACTGAACCGCTGTCTGTGAAAAGCTTTGTGTGACGGAAAAACTCCGGCGTCTCAAAGACATCAAATACACACAGGCTCACACACACTCGCCTATGTGTGCACAGAGGCATACCTTCCCTTTCACGTTAGGAAGTTCAGAGAGTGCTAAAATAAGTCGCGTCTTTGTTCTTCATGTATACACGCAGTCGACTCCATCGACAGGCCACAGTGGCCGCAATAGGCACCGAACACAGTGGTTTCTTGTACTGATCCTCTGCAGGAGTTCCTTTTCCTTGACACCCAGTGAAGTCATTCTCTCTCGTGACACACCCTGCTCCTCTTGTGCATGCTGAGACATTGTTTTTAGTGCTAAGAACATGGAGTTAATAATGATAGTGACCAATCAATGTGTGTGTGTGTGTGTGTGTGTGTGTGTGTGTGTGTGTGTGGTGTATACAACTTAGTGTAGAGATTAGAGGAAACTTGTAGGAATATGCTTTCTCCTTCCACCATGTGGGTCTTGTGGTTGAACTCAGGTTGTCAGGTGTGGTACCAAGTGCCGTAACCTGTTGCACCACCTCATAGTCCCTGAATTCATTTACTATCAAACGGCTTTAAACCTGTTTATATCTAGGATGCTATCACTTGGGCTCAGAATGATCTAATACCCTTTTCTGATCATAGTCCTATAGGTCCCCAGAGTCTTCACAGCTTGTTGGTTTTTTTTGTTTGTTTGTTTTTGTTTTTTTTTTTTGCTTTTTTTAGTGTAGTGTATTACTTGGACTTTTCTGGGCCCTTACACTGATGATTGGGCCTCAGGCAAGCTGATAAATTCTAGTTTGGAGGGAGGAAGTAGTTTATTATTGCAGCCATCTGTTCTCTTGTGGAGAAGGACATGGTTTGTAGGAGAGACTGAGTGAGTGGTTGGGAAGGAAATGCTGAAAAATGTGTCTTTGTTTACATTTTTTGTTGTTGTTGTTTGAGATAGTTTCTCCTTATGTAGCAAAGGCTGGCAGGAGACCTACGACGTAGCCCAGGCTGTCCTTGGACTTGAGGTACCCATGAAGTTGGTTCAGTGCAGTCAGGTTACCCTGAACTACCCCTCCCCTCCAGAGCCACATCCTGCCTGACAGACAAATACAGTTTCTCCTTTCTTCTGAGAAGCAATGCTTGTAAAATGTTCAGCAGATCAAAGGGTTCCTTCTTCCTCGATGGGGAATGATCTGTTGTAAAAATGTTTTGGGGCTGAGAGTTCTTTGTGACAGGTGCCTAAACTCAGTCACCAGTTTAAGTAAAGGACTCTTTTTTTTTTTTTTTGTTCTCATATGCATGGTGGTCTGTAACTTCCTTAAGTGCACTAAGACACTCCTGCCTTGGCCTGCCTTGGCCTCCTGAATGTTGCTATTACAGGCAAGCACCACCATGCCCACCCAGCAAGAAATTTGGCATAAAATAACTTTTTTTTTTCGAGACAGGGTTTCTCAGTGCGACTTTGAAGCCTGTCCTGGAACTTGCTCTGTAGACCAGGCTGGTCTCGAATTCACAGAGATCTGCCTGCCTCTGCTTCCCGGGTGCTGGGATTAAAGTCGTGCACCACCATCCCCCAGCTAAAATAACTTTTGTTTTTTAAAAATAAACAAAAATCTTATTTAAAAATAACCCGATGGTATCATGGCTACAAGGCTCATTTAACATGAACTGTGTGTTTGCAGAGAGTATGAATTTAAAGTTTTTACTGACTCTAAAGTAATTTCTCTCAAATATGGAATTCACCAGAAAACAAAATCATTTTCTTCTGTAGCCAGAGAGGAAGAACACAGGTGGATTTTTCCTCCGAACCGTTTCCTGCCTGTGAACTGAGAATGGGTAGGACTGGCAAGTAGACCCTGTGTGGGATGCAGCAGAGAGTGTGCCTGGACACATTCCCCCAGAGCTGGTTGACTTCCTGTTCTACCTTGGGCTGGGCTCAGCTTAGCACTGGGCGGCTTCAACAGAGCCTCGGCTGGCTTTGTAAGACTCAGCACAGAAAGCCTCTCCCCCCCCCCATACTTCACACACTCAGGAGGCAGAGCTCCTTTAATTTGTGGGAGCTGTGGGCGCTTTGGGAGGGGCTGGCAGTCCCGACTTCATTCTGCAGTGCCACGATTGGCTTCTGCTTTTCCCGTGTCCCCTGCGAACTGTAGTCACAGACTGATCAGTTCCATCCCTTCTCAGCCTACAGCCATCACGTTAGGTGTCTGATTCCAAGTGGAGACACGGGGACATATGTTGAAGGAGACAGCCACCCGAGGTGCAGGCATTTCTGGTTGGCACTCAGACCCGTCACCATCCCAACGGGATCTTGGAAGAGGTCTCAGGTTGTCTGCTTTTCTAGGAGCCCAACAGACACCATCTGGAATATGCAGCGTCTGGCTTCTGTGGTTC